AATGGCGCCACGTCAGCATTATTCGCATTCCGCATTCCTGTCTGGTATGTTCCGTCAAGGTGTCTCCTCCAAATTTTCTTCCACTTTTTGCGAACATGTGCGAACTTAGAGACGCAGTTTAAGCGGTCAAAGCTGATGACTACATCTAGACTAGAATCTATATAAACTTTAGATCTGAGAAGGAAACGCTGTGTTGAAGACCATTAAAGTAGTTTTGTTCCCTTTTTATGATCCCAGTAATAGCTTCAGAACATGCCATGGTTTTAAAAGACTGCTATAGACAAATAAATCTGGACATATAATTTACCTGTTTGGCCTAGGTCTTTGTGAGTTGTTAATACTAAGCACAAAGGCATTTGAACAAATATCCGTGTGCGTTTTCAACGACAGCGGCTTCTGAGTTTATTAATCAGGAGGTGGATTGTAAAACAATAGATTACTGTTGGTATAGTGTTGTATACTACCGTTTGAATTTCAAATCCTTACAAAAAGGCGGCAAATTGTGCATAGCAGTGTCCGAGTCATGACGCGTGTTTCTCGGCTAAAGCTGATAATAGAATTTCTTCTACCTCCCTTCGATCATATGTCCTGGCAATGGACAAAGGCGTTTCCCGGCCATTATTTGACACTGAGTCGACTTGTGCTCCTAGGTGAAGCGAAATAATGAAATAAAATCCTATAATGAATTAATATGCATTCGAATGACCATGTGGAAATTGAGCTGTCACCTTAATTTCATTGTCTACTGTATTTGCTAATGTCTTAGCATTTCAAGAAGGAACGAGGAACTGTGAGATAGGAGTTCCGTAAATATTAAGCGTTTGTATATTGAAAAGAATTAGAAATTACTTTAACTTACCAACATCTATTAGCTCAGTAACCATCGCTGCAGCACCTTTTTGGGCAGCAAGCATGAGTGGTGTGTAACCCTCTTTGTTCCGTTCTTCAACGTCCACGTGATAAGCAATTAACAACTTCAAAATAGACAAATCGCCACCGTTGATAGCTGCGAATATGGGTATTTCACTGTCATACTGACAGCCATTGACCTCAGCTCCTTCATCCAGTAAGAGTTTGATCACCTCCAGGTGACCTGTGGATGCGGCTTTTATTAGAGCTATATGCAGTTCCTTGCTTCGGTCTTGGTCATTGTGCCCGGCCTTTAGAAGGATTTTTGCAATTTCAACATGACCCTATTTGTAATTGAAGCAGGATGCTGAAGTGGTGAATTATAAGACAAACAGAATGTGGTCTTTGAAATGGGCGCTGAGCAATTTATAGTACAAGCATAGAAAATTCACAAACCTTTTCACTGGCGATCGTCAGTGCCGATTCATAATGTTCACTCACTGGCCAACCCACTTCTGCTCCACGATCGATAAGACATTGGGCAATCTTCTCGTGACCATAGTAAGCGGCTAGCATTAAAGGGTTACGAAGGCTACCATTTACTCTTCCCATGGTGATTCCATAATCTAGGAGAAGCACAACACAATCCATGTGGCAATTAGCTACAGCCCAATGGAGTGCAGTATTGTAAAGAATGTCGGAGAGGAAGGGTGATGCACCATGCAACAAAAGCACTTCCATAATGTCCACATAACCTCGAACAGCGGCTTCTACAAGTGGAGTTGTGGTACCACCTTCTTCGAATTCACTGGGATTCACCTAATGAAAAATGCTTCCTTAATCATTTCCGATAAAACGAAGTACTGCCTAATTCTGCTAACCAAGTAGAGGAAAGTAGAGGATAGACAAAAATTTAATCTAAAATATTATTTCTTGCCTCCCAGTAAATGCACAATTTGATCGGCATTTCCGCTATGCTTAACGGGGTAAAATAGGACTTACACCTCGTTGAAGTGCTTGAGTAACGGCAGCAACATCATTCGCCCGAATAGCTTGTGAGAGACTGAGGGGAACATCCTCATCATCTTTAGAGGAGAATTCAGTCTTGAAAACAGAAATGGCGATATTATAAGCGGCTTTTCAAAGACATCTGTTGGTCATTTTTAAAGCTGTTTATTTTCAACCTCCCTACAAAGTTTCATTACCGTGTGCTGAAATTTTCCTTAAGGTGAACAGCATTAGAATGGCACTGTTACTCCAAACTTAAGCAATTTTGTGTGCTTCACACAGGTCAATGCGTAGAGGGGTCGGTGATGAAGTCGCATTCACCTGACCACTCGACCATTCACCACACTCGGTGAAATTCCAGCTCACACCTTTATTTACTCGATACCATACCACCCATTCGGCTCATCTACCAGTCCTGCGTAGTGACGGAACCAAATAGTTACGTCCATGCCCCTTCTTAGGTGTGAACATCAACAAGGCCTGACTACCCAGTTCAATCAATCAAGCAGCGAAAGGAGCTCGTGTATGGGTGAGTGGATGGGAGAGTAGGATGTGCTGA